TGAACTGATGGCAGTGAGAGATGGCACCACAGGTAAGAGACAAGCCCTGGGTGCCACCCAGAGGAGGCACCACTGGGCCGTGCTACCACCAGCAGCTTTGAGAGCTCACTCACCAGGCAAAGCTGATGGACTCGGACACCTTCAACAGCCACACACACACACACACACACACACACACACACATCTAAACCCAGCTAAACCCAGCAGGTTCTCTTAGTGGAGTTGAGGAGAAAGGTATATTCTAAATACCAGGCGGTTTCACAGCGTTTGTGAAGAACTCCACTATTTTTTCATTCTGTGGTTCCTCAAAATTTCTGAAGCCCTTTCATATAATATATACAGTGATTATTTTCACATACCTAAGAGCCCAAGGATGTTAACGGGACTGGGGGCTGAAAATGCCTCTAAATTAAGTTCCAGAAAGATAACTAAAATCTTACCAAATCAAGACTCATTTGTAGCAATCGCATTAATTGCTCCCCGAGAAAGGGCTTCCAGTAAATGGCAGCAGAAAAGCCTTGTTTCTGCTTTGGGATGGCCAACACCCTACTTACTGGTTCCAGGAAGGAACAGAGCTAAGCCACCTTAGAAGGGCAAACTTAGGCCTAGGGCACCACCTGGTGGTTGGAATGAGGCAACACACTCATCTCTCCCACAGAACTTACTGGGAGACACTAACTGCCCATCCTTTAGGTAGCAGCCGAGTGCTTTAACCACCGCACCATCATAGCTCTTGATAGTAATGGTATGGCCTAGAGAAGCCAAGAGGAAACTTCTGTGCACTGCAGTCATCAATGCCTTGACCTGAGATTGCGTGCAATTGTGCAAATCCACCTAGCTGCTGGGCGCTTATGTGTTGCCTTTCGATTTCCCTGTATGCTTGGAAATGTTCAAAAACCTTGGGAAACCTTCATGATGATGATGGTGCCGTTATCAAAAGATATACCTCCTGGGTCTTAAAGACTCGAAGATAAACAAGCGGCCATCCAGCTGAAAAGCAACAAAGCCCTCATGGGAGAAGCACACCAGCCTGTGTGATCATGAGGTGTCGTATCAGGCATCAAAGACCCAGAACAAAAAACTGTATCGATGAGACCCAAAGCCCATCTGTAGACAATTGGACATCCCCTCACAGAGGGGACACGAGGAAGAGAGGAGCCAGTCAGGGTGCAGTACAGCACCGATGAAACACACAACTTCAATTACCCGCCCCCCCAATTCTATTACGATCCTGACCCCAATTCTACCTTACAAATCCGGCCAGACCAGAGCATGAACACTGGGTCAGAGCGGGCACCATCCTCTCTTTTACCTAGTGTGCAGGTCCCTAAAGATGGTTCCTGGTGGCCGCCTGTTTCCTGGAACTCATCCCCTTGGGTAATCTCTTCCCCTTGAGTGTAGGTGAGATTTGCCTCTAGTAATAGAATACAGTAAAAGTGACGGGATGTCACTTCCATGACTAGGCGACCAAAGATGGTGACTCCAGCTCTTCCTCCTTCACGCGCACCATCAGAGCAGGCTGCTGTGTCAGGGTGCAGGATAGCACCAACGAAACATACAACGTTCCTATCGTTCTTCGATGCTTCCCCCCACCCACCCCAACTATTCTGACCCCAATTCTACCTTACAAATCCAGCTAGACCAGAGCATGTACAATGGTACAGATAAGAGCTCAAAACACAGGGAATCCAGAATAGATAAATCTCTCCAGACCAATAATGAAGAGTAGCGATACCAGGAGGGGAAGGGGAAGAAAGGGGAACTGATCACAATGATCGACATATAACCCCCTCCCAGGGGACGAACAACAGAAAAGTGGGTGAAGGGAGACAGCAGTCAGTGTAAAACATGAAAAAACTAATTTATAAATTATCAAGGGTTCATGAGGGAGGGAAGGTGGGGGAGGAGGAAAAATGAGCTGATACCAAGGGTTCAAGAAGAAAGAAAATGCTGATGGCAACATAGGCACAAATGTGCTTGACACAATAGATGTAGGTATGGATTGTGATAAGAGCTGTAAGAGCCCCCGATAAAATGATTAAAACCAACAACAACAAAAAACCCTGGGAAACAATTACTCAGTGACCTGGAAGTGTGATTAGACTGACTACCTTAGATACTGGGGCTCTGAGGATAGTCTGTTTTTCAGACAACACCCACGAGCTAAGAGAGCAATTTTAATTATTCTAGAACTATTTGCACTTAGTATTAACAAATAACAGAATTTTCTAGGATACATTGTTATTAAAATTTCAGCTAAAATTCCATATTTACACAATTTAAAGTGTGAAAAAGCAAAGTTGTCCCTTTGAGGACTAAGCTGCTGCACCGGACCAAGCCAGGGTATTTTTCAACCATCTCCGATGTCTGTAAAAGCTGAACAGTGAATAAGGGAGCTCAAAGAATTGATGCCTTTGAATTACAATTTGGGAAAGCATACCATGACTATGAAAAGAATGAACAAATCTATCTCGGAAGTACAGCCAGAATGTTTGTTAGACGCGAGACTTCACCTCACACACTGTGGACATGCTGTCAGGAGGGAGGGCCCAGTCCCTGGAGAAGGGCATTATGCCTGGTAAAGCAGAGGGCAGTGACAGCGAGGATGGACTGACAAAGCTGCTGCAGTGATGGGCTCAGACCGACCCAGCCTCCACGGTCAGGATGGTGCAGGGCCAGAGTACGCCTCGCTCTGTGTGGTAGCTGAGTTGGAAATGGCTCCATGGCAGGCCACACATTCATGACCCCAGCAACTGGCACGACGTTCTTTTCTGAACATTGGGTATCTACACCAAAATGAATGACTGGAAATTATAAAGGGAACAAGAATACGATGCAATTCATAAAATCCTTTGTATACTCGCACTTGCTGTAACTATAAGCTCCTTTTTGCAAAGGTGCTACTAAAAATTCCCTTGCTTTTTTGGAATACCCAGTTTACATTTCTTTAACCTCTCACCAACTCTCTTTCCCAAACTAGCCTACTTTTCAATGGTTTAAAATGATTCGTACAGTTACCAGCAGGTTCAGGAGACTCAGTTGCTCAGTGGGTAAGCATCAGGTTGCTAACAAGGTCAGCAGTGAAAGCTAGCCGCAGCTCTGCGGGAAAGATGAGGCTGTTCCATAAACAGTTACAATCTTGGGCACCCTATGGGCAGTTCTACTCTCCTAGATGGTCAATGAGTCAGAATCGACGAGATGACAAGAGTTTGGTTTTTTTATTCCCAACAGAATCAAAATGCTGAAGAATGTTGGACCCCTTCCTCACACCATATACAAAAGAACTCAAAATGGTTCCCAACTTAAATATAACAAAAACACCTATAAAACCACAGGTTAGGCAAAGTTCTTGAAAACATCAAGACTCCAGTTCCACTTGGTCTGCAGTGGGACTTCAGATGCTGCGTTCCAGGTGGTGTGGAAACTGGCTCTGCAAAGGACTATCTCTTATTCCTCTCACCATCCTCGGCACCCAGCACGGGCCTGGAAAGCAGTGGACACACGGCCGTGGTTGCTCATGCTGCTTTACGTACTCCCATCACACTTTACTTCTGCCCACTTGCTTCTGGATAAGATCCTGTGTTGACTGGTCTATTTTTCTCAGAGCCTCAGACACAGAGAACCTTTCCTGAGGTGCTGGGGGCACAGAGCCTGGCACAACAGCCCCTTGGTACATGTCTAATGGCTTAAGCTGGAGATCTGACATAGCAAACCCGCCACTCAGGTTCCTGGAGAGAACACGCCAGAACAACATAGCCTGGAGCTGCCATCCTTCTGAGGAATTTTAAATGCTCAGGCGTATGACTTGTCCTCGCAAAAGCTCAGCAACACACTCCGAAAGGCTTATCAGCTCTGCCACAAAAACGAACAAAAAAGGGCAAGAATGGAGAGTATGTCATATTGGCTTATGCTTCTTGATAGACCACCTCATCCACACAGGAAAGAACGCTGACAGGCACACGGTTACCTCAGTCTGCCCACATTCCTCAGGCGGATCCTGGTGTACGGTCAGCTGATACTTGACATACAAAGCAAATGACTGGCTGAAGGACGACTTGAACTCTGGGTCCTCAAAAGAGACGGGCACTAGCCTCACCTTCAGAGCAAGGGAAACACAGGAAAGGCTATTGAGATGTGTTGAGCTGGCTGCCTGCTTCTGAAGGTGAGGCCGGGGCAGGTCTCCGGCAAATCCACTCCCAAAGCTCACCACTGGCCTCTGCTGGGACACAGGGCACACTCTGGGGCCGGGTGGCTGCCACAGCGCCCGGAGCACGACATCTTACAACCTTAAGGGCCAGAAACATTGTTTGTGTGTGGCTGGTATTGTCCTCCTCTGCATACACTGGAGTCCCTGCCATTGCTAATTCCCACTCAGAGTACTGCTGTGGCTGTATTAGGAGGCGTTTTAGATGGTTTCTCCTTCCAGGTAATGTAACTGATAACAGGATATGCGTATTAGGGCTTATTTCAAGATGATCTACTATCGGAATGTTTGAGCCTTTGTTGGGCCTGGGTAGCTCATGTCCCAAGAATCACGGAGCTGCTACAGCCTCACGCTGAATGGTAGGTGGGGATAAGGCAGAGTAGCAGTGCTGGCAAAGTCGGCCCAACTTGAAAACAGAAAGCGTTCTGCCTTTCTGTGTCCCCAGAGACAGTTTTACTTTGAGCTGGAGGAATATGGTTACTACCACTACTACTGTATCATTTGTACTAACTTTCAGATGAAGGCCTTCAAACAGAAGTGACTTTCAATAAAGGTAATTCTATTTGCTGTGCTACTTTTCCATTGGAAACAAGAGTTAGCTGCCACCAAACATGGCAGTAGGTGAAATTTGCACTTTCAGATCGTTCCTGAATTCAGTCCCCTCTCTCTGCAGGCGTGCTGCAGACTGACTAGAAATAAGAGGCACCATGGGAAGCACTCCGACGATGCTCTCAAACGGGGGGAAGTCAAGGGAGAGGCTCCGTTTGCATGTACAGCTGCCGCGCGGCCTGCTGACCTGGCTCATGGTCGGTTTGTCAGATGGGTCCTTGTGAACAATCATCTGGTAGCGTTTATAGATCTGGTAAGACTCCTGAAATGTGGCTTTGAACTGAGCACTTGGCGGAGATGACCTCACCACCCTCACCTTCAGAAGGAGTTAAAAACAGCATGGTTCATTAATTCATTTGCCCATTCACAGCTCCTCCCGCCCAAGAGTGAACCCAAATGAACAGTCATGGAGACAACAGTGGCCATCACATGTGAACATTCAAAATCAACTGGTTGGTAAATACAGGAGGGAATTCTTCCTCCAGCTGCTCAGGCTCGAAGCCACTCAAGCCCACAGAGGATGCACGTGATTGCTGGGCAGCTCAGCTCAGGTTGGGAGAGCCGGCCGGCCCGTCGTGTACAAAGCTGGCACGCCAAGAGTACCAACTCTGTGGTCCACACTCACCTTCAGTCAGGCTTTCCAAAGAACGAAACTTGAGAATACCATTTTCAGAAGCGACTTTACTCATTGCTACTAACTCTAACTGGGCTCTTTATCGCACTCAGGTAGAAAGGCCGGCCTCACAAAAGGGTTCCTATTTCCCAGCATAGGGAAGAAGGGGGCTCTCCCATGGGATGTCTTTCATTCTAACTGTAACTACTAACTCTAAGTCCACCACTGTTGTCCAGGGGCTTAACCTCTCGTATCTCCGTGTCCTCCTACCTACAGCAACGAGGAGTCACGTCTGGTGAGTGCTGACTGTTACTTGAGCACCACTGCAGGAACTGCCACACACTGCTGCTAAGTAGCTCCAAGACAACATTCCAACTCTCTGTTCGAGTCTGCAAACCTGGCTGGCAGCAGTGTGGGCTCTGGAGCTCCTTTCCTGGGGTGTGCGATCTGTGTGCTCCAAAAATTGGTCACAAAAGAGGCACAGGAGAGTGAGGCTGAACTGCAGCAACCATTCAAACAGGAGGAGAGAATGGCAAAATCCGCCTGCGGAGCCTCATGTAATCTACTACCAGATGGAAAAGAGCAGGAAGAGGAATGAGATCCAGGTCGAATAAGTGTATCAGCAAAAGATGCAAACGAAAATCGAAAGCAATAAAGGCATACTAGCAAACGTGTGTGTGTGTGTGTGTGTGTGTGCGCGCGCGTGTGTGTAGGGGAAAGAGAGTACACGAGTGCACAAGCACACGCATGTGAAGTGAGTGAAAGAGTGACACCTGGTGGACATTAAGGCTCGGAACACCCTAGGCATCCTTACATACAAAGAAATCAGCGACTGTACTCTAGAGCTGTCATTGGGTATGCTTGGGTTCCTGAAGGGGAACTAGTGATGTAGTCCATGACACAGTGGGCTGTTCCCCTTAGGATCAGCCACTCGAAACACTAGCCACTCCAGGAGAGAAAGACAAGGCTTTCTACTCCCGTCCAAGACTTAGTGTCTCGGAAACCCACAGGGGCAGTTCTCAGTATCAGCTCAAGGGCACTAAGCTCGGTTGCTGGTTGGGTTTCTGAAGACATTACTAATAGAAAGAGAAAACTCTTCAGAAAGGATTTTAAGTAGTGTGTCCATTAAGAAGAGAACAAAACAGCAAATGCCTAGCAAAGCCTCTTCACTTTGGAAAGAGAAAGGGCAATGCCACACCATGAGTAGCCATGAACTTGACTAGTCCGAGTTAGCAGAAGAGGAGTTCGTTTTGAGTCATACACAATATTAAGCTATCCATTCAAGGGCTGACTTGTTCTTAATCAAGTATGAGAACACAGTGGCACTGCTATAGCTAACAGGTTTTCATTTTAATTTTGGAAATACCACAACTAGGATTGAAACACCTAGACTTGATCGAGAAATAGCAGATTAATTTGAAAGGGAAAGAAAGAAAGAAAGCGCTATGAAGCAGTCGCGCTATGCACTCCCTGGGGTGGAAAAAGAAGGGAGGGTGACAGGGGCACTGGGGCAATTTCCTCCTCTCCTTGGATTCCAAACTGCTGGCCGGCTGGAGATCAGATGGTCAGCTAGAGAGAGCCATGATTTGTCAAGGGTGGTCTCTACTCATTCTCTTTCAACCCTTAAAATGAAAACCAGCAACATTAAAAAGTATTTTTTCCTTTTGCTTCTACCTATTAAATTTCATGGGCAACCCAAAAGCGAGAAGACTCCCCAAAACAAAATGCTACAGCTTGAACTGTTTCCATAACACTAATAGCCAACTTACCTGATGGATTAAAAAAAAACCTTAAAAAAAATAAAAGGTTCCCCTTGATTAGCAATGAACTAGGACGTGCAAAATGATATTCCATTCGAATTCCCTTTCATTTTGCTTGTTACTATCAAAACAATGATATGCAAAACTCGAATGAAAATTAAGTTAAGTACTCACTAAAGAACAGAAACTTAAAGTCACCCTAACCAAGCACACCAGACACCCCTCCCAAATACCTCCAACTTGTGTGCTGCGTCCTCTGGTAAAGAGTCAAACATTAAATCTTCCAGTGACTTGGGCTGGTTGCACTTAGCCTTTGGTGGGCCCAACGATGGCGCTTGTCCTTGGCCCTGGGGCCCCCGCAGTGGCCCAGTTGGGCTCTGCTGCACGAGCTTTAGCCTTTTCCTTTCTTTGCGAATTTCCTTTGCTTTTCGACACGGAGGCTTACTCAAATCAGCCCCTTTCCCTAGAAAGAAGGTCAAGGTATTAGAGCAGTCACATTTGGCTCTAGAAACATTTCTTCCAAAGTCCTAGAGATCTACAAAATCAGTCCAGAGAGTTCTGCCAGGCTTGCTTGGGGCATCACTGTTAAGGTGACCTTAAAGATTCTACCTAGAGGCAGGAAGCCAAGAAAACAGTCCGAGAACTTGTCAGGAGAGCTCCCCTGATGAACACCTTTGCTTGCTGTCTCTTGTTGGTACTCTTTCCAGCTCCTTTCGGTCTTGTGGGTAGAAAGAACAAAATCTAATGTCTTTCCTGCTTAGGATTGCTGCCTCGAGTCCGTACTTCTGAGGGACACTTGGCAGACGGCTGTGATAGTACTTCTGAGGGACACTGGCAGACGGCTGTGATGGAGGAGGACTCGAAAGCAGGGTCCCAGAACACGCTCTGCCAGTGCATGACAAAGTCCGTCCCAGTTCAGGGTCTGCGTGTCTCTCGCCACTGAACGAAGGGATCTCACCGGTTCAGTGCTAGTTCATTAAAGTTTTCTTTTCATTAGAGGACCAAATATCAAATTGGTAACCCTTTTAAATATTAAAAAGTGTTTAAACTCACAAATTTGAATACATTATAATTATATAGTACATTAAAAGGGAAGTATGCCCCCTTTGAGCTAGCTACTCTATAATTTATGCTTTCATTCAGATTTGAAAATATTCATACCCTTTAACATGGTAAAACTTCTTTATTGAGGAAGCTATTCCGAAAAACTAATAAGAGAAGCAGCAAATACTGACAAACATAAAGGAGAACTCAAAAAAAAGCTAAATGCTCAATTATAAAATTATACATTTTTTGAGCAAAGCAACCAACTGTCCAACAGCAGGGAAGTTCGTTAAAAGAGGTTATTGGGGAGTTCCTGTTAGAGTGCTAGAAATAATTCGTTATAAATAAACACACATTGAAAATGTTTTTCACATACTGTGAATGAAATAGACCACACCACCATGCTAATTGTTATTTTACCTTTCACGTGGGAACATCTTCTCTTTTTTTTAGAACATTCTTTTGTCCATATTTTCTAACAATGGGAACTAATTGTATTTATTTATTTTGGGGAGGAGGGGGGTTAAAAATGCACTTAGCAAAGCAAGGTCTGTCCTTTTTAAGCCCCCGAGCCCTGTATTCAACAATTCACAGAAAGCTAAGGCGAGCGACAGGAGGGACTTCAGACTAGAGCTGGTAAGGGCTACGAGAGGCCAGGAGCTGGGCTGAAGAAGTTAATTCTGTGAGAAACCAGTGACTCCATAGTCCCACGTGGATCCAAAGACCACCTCACAAACATGTTTTCAACTAAAATGCAAGTTACCTGTGAAACACAGACAGACTTGGAGCTGACCTAATGAGCAGCCGTCCCCAGCGCCTGATTCTGTCATCGACCGCTGCCTTCGTCGGATTCACTTCCACGGGCCAGGAGCATATTTTCCTCAAACACGTTCTGCGTGGCACCACCACGCACTGCTTAGGAGCAGGACCTCAGACGTGGACTGCCCGATGCCCGGCACAAGCTCTGTGCCTGGACAAAATGGCCTGGGTCTTACCATGCTGCTCACAGAAGAGGAAACCAGTCAGCCCACTGAGTTCTCCCCGAGGATCACTGACTGTGACTACTGCCTGCACGTCCAATACTTACTTCAAAGGCTGTCCTTACCTATAAAGGCGTTCCAGAAGTGGGAACATTTTTAACTACAATGTTTTTCAGCAAGTGCCCCCCCAAGTCTTTCAAGTGGACTGCAATATATGATTTTTCCATATTTTGATCAAAGACTGTATCTATTTTAAAAGTTCAGTGAACTAAGCAATCCTTAACCGTGATTGTTCCTTCTCTACATTGAGAAGACAATTTCAACAGACAGCAATCCAGAATTTCCCTCGCCTATTAAAGGCTAGGAGATCCTTGCAGCGGCATGGAACCACCACCAACATGCCCACTGTACCCCACACCAACCCTGACCCGACCGGTGCCCAGCGTGTCAAGGACAAGTCCCAAGGGACTTGAACAGCAGCAGGGTGTGCAATTCCCCATCAACCCACTGCACATCGGATTACTTTAAAATAAAATGGAAATGCGGGTTTTCCAGAGACATTCCAAAGATTCTTACGCTTTCATAGTAGTCCCAAATTTCTAGTGAGAAAGATGCTGAAGAAGAGAGAATGCAAACACGTCCCTTCTCTCAGTAACCCGCCTGCTATGGGTCAGGTCAGGACTACTCTTCAGCTGTGGTGTAAGGCGGACAAAGAAAATGGGCAGCTGCATGGAGTCTAATGGAATTACCTCCAAAACCTCTGAGAACTGCTTCAAAGATACACAGTCTGGAAAAAGGTAAAACCACTCTAATCCTGAATTTGACTGCCAATGATTTGCTAGGTGCCAAGCTGGCGCCAATTAATAGTGGCCCATGTCCAACAGAATGCAATGCTGCCTGGCCGGTCACTCTTGCACCATCCTCACCCAGCCAATGGAGGGCCTTCCTGGTTTGCTCCAACCCTCTACTTTGCCCAGCATGACCTTCTTCAGGAGCTGGTCTCTGCTGACCACTTCAACAGTCTCTGCCCTCACCAGAATTCAGATACATCCACTTGTCTCCAGTCCTCCTTACTCGCTTTGTTGTCCATAAACTTGGAACTTGGGAATTTAGGACCCCTGAAACCTGTCAGCTGGAACGGCCTAGGAAACAATGACCAAACTCATTTCTCCTTCTAGCAATATTCCAGCCACAAGATCAGGAGACCGGCCTGGTGCCCAGTTACCACCACAGCCCATTTCAACTGGTGTCCAAGCAGTTAGTCCCAAACAGAATGGGAGAAGCACATGGAGAACCCAAGTTATGGTTTAAAGTCAAGTTGGACAAACTGGAACAGTAGAAAAGGCAGGACTCCCTGAAATTATCGCCCCAAGGCACTCCTTAAACCTAGCACTGAGCCGATCCTCGGAGATCCCTGTGAGCAAAACAGCAGAGTGGCCCACAAACGCGAGACTATTCCCTGTCAGCTCAGCACCCTAGTTAAAACCATCTGGGTGAGGCCTAGAAGGCAACCCAGAGCAGAGATGAGGAACTAAGAGTAGGGAAACCAGAGTCCAGAAAAGAGACCAACAGAACCCAGTGAAAGGGAATGCGGATACAGTAGGATCCACGTGACTACCACCACGGAAACACTGGAGCGAAACCATCAAAAGAATTGGCTGCGAAGACTTTCACCAACCACCCGTCTTGGGAGAAGTCCAGCCAGAACACTCCGCAGAAGCCAGGATGGCAAGACTTGCCTCACGTACTTGGGCTGTGTTGTCGTCAGTAGGGGGCCAGTTTCCAGAGCAGGATCTCATGCTTGTAGAGGGCAAGTAAAGAAGAGGTAGACCCTCCATGAGACAGAGAGACACAGTGGTTACCACAATGGACGTCAGTGAAGGATGAGTGTGAGGATGGGACAGGGCTGGTCAGGGTCTCATTCTGTTGTGAACTGACTCACTGACACCTCACAGGGTCGTCTGAAGAGACAGAGCCCCTTTACAATAACTGTAGTTAGAGACAAAATAATAAGGCTCTTATCCCGGGCTCTAGAAACAGAATGGCTGGACAAAGGCAGAACATGATTTGTGCACCTACATCCAGTAAGGATTCCTGAGTAAGCAGTAGAGCCTGCAGTGACTCGGAAGGGAAAGCACTTCACACACAATTGCACTACCTGGCTTGGGCACCGTGAGAACTTTCATGAGCTGCGATGGCTCGCCGGACCAAAGCTTCTCCTCTCTCTGGGGGGCCGGAGCAAACTCCTCGGGTTCTTCTTTCTGCGGTCCTCTTCCTTTCGTCTTCTCTGCGCTCGCTAAGCTCTGCTTGAGGTCATCGCTGAGGGTGGTGAGGTCACACTGTATATCCAGTTTATTTATCAATGCAAAGTCACCCGCGACAGCATCCTCCACCAGGGAATCCATGGGCGCATCTACAAACAGAAGAAAGGAAAGCCCATCAGCCAGACCATCTGACATACAGGAGGAAAAGACCCCTTAGCCCCACAGCAGAGACCACCGGGGGCCACCAAACCCACTTTCCCATCATCATCAGACTGTGGTCCTCCCACAGGGGTCAGCAACTGACAGCTGTGCATCTGACAATGGAACAGGCCCAAAATGCTAAGACAAGCTCCGCCCTACTTCCTTTATAGGGTGTTTGTGGCCCTGGCCTTCCCACCTCCCCCTCCCTCACTGGATGCAACAGTGAAAACGGAATGACCTTGCCAACCAATGTGTGTGTGTGTGTGGGGGGGGGGGCCCCAGAACCATGGGGGACAGGGCTGCAGTCCCCACCCCCACCCCCGACACCTGCAGCAGACTTGCCACCGAAGTGCCCACCATACACCATCTTGAGTGTCTTTCCGTGTTCTAGCAGGCTAGCCTTCTACCTTAGTGAGTGTATGACTCTTAGTCCCACACACAAGTAAGTCGCAAGCCAAAGGCAAATGAAGATCCCCCACCAAAATCCCACTGCCATCAAGTCAATTCTGACGCATGGTGACCCTGAAGGACAGAACACACCCGCTCCATTGGGCTTCCACGACAGTCATCTGCGGAGGAAGCAGGCTGCTGCAGCCTCCCAATATACACAGGGGTATTATCTTCAAATCACATCTGCGTAATTCCCCATGATTCCCACTCACCAAAAACACATCGCATTGATAAGTCAACAGAAACCTTTAACCATTGAGATTAAGTACTGAGAATAGTAACCACAACTCTGCCATTTGCACCCCTCCCGCTGCTCGTGAACCTCTTGGACCCATGCCGCCCATCCCCTGTGCTGCTCCATCTGCTCCAGTCCTCTGAGCACAGACAGTCGGGACACTGTGTGAGCACAAAGAATAACTGTCTCTCCACGCTAAGAATACCATCGAACCATCTAGTGATAATGCCACTGTTTTTCTCACAAGAGAGCATTAGGGGAGAGCAAAATAAAAATGTCCACACACCTCAGAAACTACAATTTTAACAGACCCCAGGGCACTGCAGTGTCTTTGAACTGCTTTTCGAACCTCTTCCTAAGCCAGACGCTCTCAGGCACATCTCCCCTAGGCCCCAGCGTGAGGACCACTAGGAACAGTGAGCTGGAGCTGGCCCAGTATAACAGTACAGGACCATGGCAACGACCTTCCCTGAACTTAGTGAAGGACCACGAGAACCCTGGAAAGACAACATCAACGCCAACTGTTTCTGGACCCCAGCTCCTCTTACCCTCACAATTTCCTTTGGCGATCTCCCCTTTGGTCAGAAACTTCAACATTTTTTTCAAGACTTTCTTGTGGGATTTTGATGGCTGAAACTGCAACGGGCGGCACCTGTGGAAGCAAAAGTCCACTTCAGTGTGGGAGAAGTCAACTCATTTCCAGTCCATCCTGGCCACGAGGAACCTAATCTCTAGTCTCTTCCTAAACCTCATTAAAACAACGTCTAAGGGTTACCAAAGAGAGAACATAAATTCACTCAGTCCAGGAGCATGGGAGGCATCTGGGGAGCTGTAAAGTGGATGTACAAGTGGTGCTGACGTAGCAGAATGAGAGTGTAAGCCTAAACCAACAGCAGGAAAAGTAAAAAGACACGCAGTTTTCTCTCCCCCTAACAGGCTTAGGAACTGGTGATGCTTGCTACTTCTGGACACCGGCTTGAAGATGGGCCTGAAGACAGGAGGAACCCTTTGAAAGCCTGGTTCAGAAGGGCTCAGACGTCAGGTCCTTCCCCACACCCAGGCAGAAAATGACACACTTTTAGAAAAAAGTAAGCAATTAGACCCGAGGCATGGAAGCTACAAGGCCCCATAGAAGACAAAGGTAAGGTGCTGGTAAGAGGGGAAAGGAAAGCCCACACATGGAAGGTCAAGACAAAGTCAACCCTCTTTCTGAACCCAGCTCCCAGAACACTGCTGGGGTGTTTATCTTCTCCCCCAACTGTGACCACACCCATCAGGGATTCCCCATGAGAACAGCCCAATCAGATAACTCAAGTCCACGGTAAATCATTCCTACTCAAGATGCACTCAGTTTCCAAAGATAAAATGTTAAGACTCACCAGGTATGTAAAGTAGGCCCCTGCCACACAGACAGATGCCCGCCAACTGGAGAAAGCACCTAGGAACAGACGGGCTTAGAAAAACATCCAGAGAAAGCGCTTCTGACTCTCGAGCTCTTATAACCATAGACTGTCAACATGTACAAACAACAAAGACAGCGAAAGTGCTCCCAGAAATAAAAATTCATTTGGAGAATAAACTTACAGATTTGAAAGAGGAAGTTTCACAGATGTCCCAGTGTCACCAAAAGAAATGGAAAATTGAGGGGAAGAAAAAACAAAACAAAAGGCAGACCAGTCAAAGAGCTCTGATATGTGAACTCTAAAGGTTTACATACGATCAACTAAAGAATTCCAGAAAAGCTCTGACCTGGAGATGAGGAGAGCCCGTGGATAAGCAGAACCTCCCACGTCTGCATGGAAACAGAACCACAGCAGAGACCACATGAACTGTACCGACACCGAGAAGGAGAACCCGAACAGCCTCCTTGCATCGAGAAAGAACAGGTTTCGCACAGGGAACAACAATCGGGAGGCCACTGGACTATTCAAGGCAAGCAGCCAACGGTGGAGCAAGGCCTACAAGATTCTGATGGGAAATCATTTCCAACCTACGCTTTTGTACCCTGCCAAACTATAAGTTCATTTTAAGCATTCAATGAAAACATTTTCAGACGTGCAAGATTGCAAAACATTGACCTCTCCTGAGTGTTTTCCTATTAGAAGTGCTTCCCGAAAACCAAGACGGGAGGCAGAGGACCCAGGAGAGCTGGGACCAATTACAGACAAAGAGAATCCCCAGGAGGACAGAGCGAGCTCCAGGAAGACAAAGAATGCATCAGGGAGAGGAGAAATGCTCCAGGTCAAAGCAGGTCAGAGGTTCCCAGAGAAAAGGATGCTCACCAAAAAGATAGAAGTGACAGCACACTTGATTCATCTGAACTTATTATGAGGAAGCTCACACAAATTTCTTCTTTAGGAAAGGGACTGAGACACCCAGAAGACTGAAAACAATAAGAGTAGGAAAACCTTTTGTTGTGGTTAATTTAAGCTTTCAGGGAAGAGGTGGCCCTGTTGGGTAAGCACAGGACTGCTAACTGCAAGGTCAGTGGTTCAAACCCACCAGTCACTAACAACAACAAAATAGACATAACTCTGTTCGCAGGAAGATTCAGAGCCACAGACATCCAATAGGGTCTTTTAAGAGTCAGAACTGCCCCAATGGCAATGAGATGAGTTTGTAAGAAATCTACACTCTATATCCAAGGGGGGTACCATAAAAACACAACGGGATTTTTTTCCCCCAATTAAAAATTTTTTTAACAAAACATACTTAATACATTTGTCAAATCTGTGATTCCATTCTTTGAATCATTTTTCAAACTCATCTATTTGGATGGCTGACAGCACCTCCCTCATTTTTTTATTCGCCTCTTCTACAGAGTCAAATCACTGTCCTTTCATGTCCCTCTTCATTTGCAAAAACAAAAAGTCACAAGGAATGAGGTCAAGTGAGTCAGGTGCAAGGGGCAAGAGAGGCATGCTGTTTTTCACCCAAATAACTGGCGCACTGCATGAGCAGGTACATTGTCTTGGTGGTAAAACCAGTCTCCCATCTGCTACAAATCAGGTCTTTTTTTGGTCGCACCCGGTACTCAATCTTTTCAGAATCTAAATACAATGCTTGATTAACAGTCAGACCTGGTGGAACGAACTCCAAATGAACTATCCCCCTCACATCAAAAAAACATATGAATATCTGTTTTTTGGGGGTACCCCCTTATATATCAGATTAAGCCCTCCCTTTTCTACCGAGTAATTTATAGAATCCTGTAATATCGCTTAAATAAAAGACACGGGAAAAACAATACACTAGACTATATAAAGCCCTAAGATAAACCTCTTAAAAAACAAACAGCAACAACTAGTAAACAAAGGTAAGTTAAATTCAAATACTATTTCTCAATACTTCATGATATCCACTGGCTAAACTGTTAAAGAGGTAATTTTCCAAGTCATATTTATCTCTAAATCAATTAAACAGTCACTAAAAGCTATCAATCAAAATGTAAACACAATCTAAGCATGTTCAAAGGAAATAACCAAGAAAAAAAAGAAAGGAAATGACACATTTACTTTTACCTATAAAGAATCTCCACCTAGAGTAGAAAAATATCATTTTAAAAATTCTACCAAAAATGTACAATCTTCATATTGTAGCTCTTCTATTAATTAAAATCCTTACCTTATTGTGTACTGCGGACAACATGTTTGATTCATGACTGGTTTGTACACGTATTTCCCACTTCTAAAATTACAAAAGTATTTTGTTAATTTCTCATATATTTCTTGTAAGTACCAACATCCTATTTTTCTCCTGCAATGGCTCATCTCTACCTTAGGAAACAATAAAGACATTCCCTAACTTGGCATACTAAATCCTTCACCATCTGACTGATGCCTGCCGTGACTGCCTCATGGTGAAGGTAAGAGCGCTACTTAGCACACGGTTCTTAGAACTGCTTATCTGTGCACAAAGAACAGCCATCATTGGAGAAGATCACAAAAATCTCACCAACTAAGTGAGCGGTGACAAGGTGACATGAAGGAACTAATCACTTTATAAGGTATGACAGGGTCTTGCAGCTATATAACTCAGAGTCTGGAGGGTGGGGCCATTGCCCAGAAGGTCAAAGAGAACAAAGGGTCTTTCCGTGGCCTGAGAGCTAATGTGTCATTTGTTCTGCTGAATATGGGGCGTGCTTGGTGCCATTATCCCTCCTTCCCTCCAGTCTTCCCAGTTGTAATGGACTGGTCTCCCTTGTTCCTGTTAATTACATTCTAGATTTCATAGGCTGACAAAGGAATTGGAATGTTGCCCCCAGACTGAAAATGCCTAAAATTTCATGCATCCATGATTTATGCAACCAGAAAAGTTGGAGCTGATTTAAGATTAATTTAAGAATGATATGATGAGATGCCTGGTGGCGTAGTGGTTATGGTTTGGGTTGAGATCTGCAAGGTCCTAAGTTTGGAACAATCAGCTGTTTCATGAGAGAAAGACTGGGCTTTTCTCTCCCATTGGTCTTGAAAATGTAGTTCCACTCAGCCCTACAAGGTCACTATGAATCAGCACTGCCTCGATGGCAGTGAGATGATGGGGTGCACACGAGGGACAAAAATTAGGGTGGACAAGGCCAAAAGGATGGAATGTTACAGCCTGAACTGTGTCCCCCAAATACTTCTAATGAGATACTGACAGGGTGACAGGGTGTCTGGACTTCGCTATAAAGTACTTTGTTGAGGGGAGGACAGAGAGAAAAGTAAAAAGAAGTGATGAGCCCAAAGTGACAAAGTGTTGACGATCACAGCAGCTGGATGATGGGGGCGTGAGGGTCATTCTAATAGACTCCCCGTGCAGATATATTTGAAAGTTCCCTAATAAACATCTCTCCTATAACACTAACATGTTTTGGTTTTAGTGTTGTGTGCATATGACTTCTCCTGATTTTTACAGTAAGTTTACAGCACAGTCTTTGGGGAAAAAACAAAGATTGAAAAATCAAACTGTGTTTCAATTATCGGAAGAGTCTGAGCAGCAGCCACAAGGACTCGTATCAAGGAGTTTTACCTTCGCCATCCTCGGTCTATGAGATCCTGGTAATCCTGTGCCGTCAGGGAGTGTGCCCACATGCCTAAAAATGAAAGTGGAGTGTTAATGAAACAGATTTAGCACCTGTTTTTTTAAAAACAAAATGCATATAGCATGCTCATGTGTAGATCATTTTGTTAAATTCAAAGCATGAGTTTGTTTCATGGAAATCTTTAGGAAACAACACTGGCATTGGAGGAACTCAAGTGCATGCCTACTTCACACATGGTTGGCTTGGTGCATGCAAATCCAGAACATATGGACAAAATATTGATTTTGCTTTAAAAAAATCAAGTCTCTTAGTGATTACATTTAGCTCAAAGTTTGTCAATAGTATCCATGACATAAAAAATGTAGGTCCTTTAATGATGAAAAATACAACTTTTCTCTAGTTCCTAAATGTTTCCTCCCCGCTCCCACTATCATGATATGAATTCTACCTTGCAAGTCTGG